TAATTTTGTGATCGATAAACTTATTGATGGTTCGCACAATAGTAGACTTATTTATAGTGGTGGTAGATTTATAAAATGTGGTAGACTTATTTGTAGTAGTGGTAGAGTTAATTTTGTTATCGGTAGACTTATTTCCAGTGGTGGTAGAGTTAATTTTGTGATCGGTAGACTTATTGATGGTTTGCGCAATCGTAGACTTATTGATGGTTCGCGCAATCGTAGACTTATTTACAGTAGTGGTAGATTTATTTTTGAGTGATAGACTTATTAGTAGTTGTGGTAGAGTTATTTTGTTATCGGTAGACTTATTGATGGTTCGCGCAATCGTAGACTTATTTATAGTAGTGGTAGATTTATTTTTGAGTGATAGACTTATTAGTAGTTGTGGTAGAGTTATTTTGTTATCGGTAGACTTATTGATGGTTCGCGCAATCGTAGACTTATTTATATTAGTGGTAGAGTTATAATATGTGATAGACTTATTTATTGTAATGGTAGATTTATTCAATATTTTCACTTTTTTACTAAAACAACCTTAAACTTGTTTATAATAGTGGTAGATTTATTTATAGTAGTGGTAGATTTATAATATGTGGTAGACTTATTTATAGTCGTGGTAGTGGTAGATTTATAATATGTGGTAGGCTTATTTATAGTAGTGGTAYACTTATTTATAGTAGTGGTAGATTTATTCAATAAATGGTAAAATCGTAATTTATCCTTCATCTTCTCCACAACACCAAGCTTCTCTCAAACCCTAACAATGGCGGCCAGCCACTTTTTAGCTCGTTTTTACTGTATTTTAACTCGTTTTCAACTGTAATTTGCCTAAAACTAGTAGATCTAACATCATATATCCATTTTCTAACAAAACATCAAAAGATTTTGAGTTTTTTTTTTCAAATTTTGATTTTTAATCCTCTTTTTACCTAATCTCGGGGTTTCCGCAGCTTCCACACCTCCGCCAAGCACGATACGGTGCTTCCGCAGCCTCCGTGGCCGCGGTTTCAAACAAATGTTTGATTTTTTTTATATAAATTATGAATGTCATTTTCGTAATAAAAACTTGTTACTAAGGTTTATTTGTCTTTTATAACTTGTGTTGAGTTTCAAGGTTGAATAAAAGTTGTTCTAGTAATTAACCTCTTTTCCAAAATTGTTTTAGTAATT